GAGAAAAAGAAAAAAGATAGTCTATTAGTTGGTGATGATCTCAAAACTAATATAAACCACGGTAAAATAAATTATCCTTATAATTATCTGTATTCTTTATTGATTGGTCTGTGCTTTTAACAATCATTACTCAAACCCAGTTTAGTGGCAGGTTGGGTGGGTCCTGAAGGGACCGTTGAAAGTTGACGTTCTAAACAGAATAGTTGAGAGCGCGATCGCACTTTAATGAGAGAGTTCAGCCCTGAATCCGCTGCGTCGATGCTCTCAATTAATGGCTGTGGAATGTAAAAGGTTGAGTTGCTGGGTATGAAGTAAAATGGCTCCTGGTTTGAATGTCATGGACCGTCTGGGATCGCACATATCCCTCTCAACTTCTATGCTCGCTCTTCTTGGCTGCCAAAAGCATTGACCATTAAGGCCCGTGGCGCGCTATCTGACTTGAGTCGTGATCACCACACCAGTGATGACAACTGATGGAACAATCCAAAACATAAGCCACTGAAGGCGAAGCGCGTCTGACAGACCAAACCAGTGAGGATAGGCAGTCCAGGATGGTCGAAAAAGACCATACTTCAGGTGCATCACACGGCAGACCCCAACAAAAATAAACACAACGTCTGGAGGGTTTTCATGTTGTAGTCGAACAAATTCGTTATCCGGATTAATCAAGAATATTTTATGCAAATCGACGCCTCTGTAGGCACAATAATATACGAATTTTGTTTTGGGAACCGTTCTAATTCCTCTCACTTAATTGTCTGCATTTGCCCTTCATCTTGTTAGAACTGAAGAGGTAAACATTAACTAACTCTGAATTGCCCCACATTACAAAAGAATGTTTATTCGGTGGTTGAGTAATTGAAACCTAGAAAATCGCGCTTAGCACTTGCACCTTTTCTCCGCTTCAAGAGAAAAAGATTCATGGATATGTAACCCTGATATTAGCTAACTAACACGTCCCTAAGCCCTAACCTAAACATGTCTAATCAGTCCTTACCCTAACCCTACCCAACCTAATTATTCCTAACCTAACCTAACCCATGCGCACTAGCGGTAGTGCGAAATCAATGAAATGAGTGATGATCCGGATGGTTGTATTAGCTGGGTGAGAGACATTGTTAAATAAAAATAACCCACAAAGCAACAAAAACAAGCTACAAGTTCATCACCTAGCATGCCTCATGAGGAAATATGACAATTTAACTTTTTGGCAAAACTGTTTATCTTTGCATAGGAAGCTGGCTGCCTAGACGGTGTTTAACATGTTCTATACATTCCAGATTGTTGTACGGTCTGCCGAAGCTTCTCCAGCTCTTGGTAAACGTTTCAACGCCGTACAAATGCATTTGAAGAATCGTGGAGAAACGTGTAATTCACGTGTTAGTTGACTAGTTTTTGTTTGAAGATCAGCGGTTACAACCATCAAAATATCAATGAATTCTCTCTATATATATATATTAAAACTAAGGAATGAGCTGTGAGATTTCCGGTCGGTCCATCCTTGTATCCTGTTATTCCATTGACGCTTGACTAATTAACACACAGACCAAAAAAGAGAAAATCGGCGGACCAAAACAGCGAGAATCATCGAAACCAAAATAACCAGAAACGACCAAATTAAAGAATGAGAGTTTGTGGGTGAAAAGGGCATTCTAAGCTGACAGCTGTACTAAATTTATTACAATTTCTCAACAATGAGTTTTCTCAAAAAAAAAGGAAAAAGCCTTGATTTTAATGACTTCCTAGGAAAAAACGGTAAATTATAAGTAGGTTATAAAGTTATATTGATCCATAGTTTTATGTTCATGTGATGCTAAATCAGGGATTGGGTGAGAGTGAAAAAAGTCAAATCCCCGATTTCAGCAGAGCATGAAAAAAAATAAAATGTTTAAAAAATTATTTACGTAGATTCTTAATTTAATTTTAATTTATAAAATTACATAAACAATACATAAAGGTGGAGTTGTTTAAAAATTATAATTGATGGCAACTTTTTTTTAATCGAAGAGAATTTTATATCATGGATTAGCAAGTAATGGAAACTGTTAAGAAAAACAGTTTTTAAAACGATGAAGTTTTCATGGGAGTAGGAATTTTGAAGTTTATTGGCTTGTTTCATCAATAATCATGCTTATTATAAAATTGTTACTTATTAATTAAATTTTCTCTCTTTCTCTCTATCACTTTCTCTTTGTCCTTATGTATTGCAGGCAATGCCTCTCTCTCTCTCTCTCTCTCTTTCTTTCCTTTATCTCTCTCTCCCTCTATCTTTGTCGTTATGGATTTCAGATACTGCTGCTCTCACTCTTTCTCTCTAACTCTCTCTTTCTTTCTTACCCTTGACTTACCTATTCATCAATTAACTATATTTTGTTTCATTTCATTTTTTTATTTTTTTAAATTAATTAATTACCATCCGTACAAATTATATACCTACATTATGTAATGAGATATAATAAGATTTTATCGTTTATATATATATCCTGAGGGGGAATGGGAGAAGGAGAGAAAGAAGAGAAGGAGTGAGAGAGAGAGAGAGAGAGAGAGAGAGAGAGAGAGAGAGAGAGAGGAGAATGAATGAATGCGGTTTTATTTAATGTCATATAATTTGGTCAAATTATACCATTCAACGACTTAATTTTATACAATTACAAATAATGTTTATAAATTTTTCTCTTATTCTATATTAATTTGTACTATATTTATATAATTCAAATTTATACAATGTTAGTTAATATTTGCCATAATGATGTGTGTCGATAGAATAGAAAATAGTTTAGAATGTTATTACATTTTTGCCGGATTTCATTTTTTATTAATTTTTAAGTTTTATCATATTTTTTTAGTTGTTTTAGATCAACAGGTAGGTTGTTGTAAAATATAATATTAATTATGCTAAAGGATTAGCCAATATTTCAGTTCGGTGGTACCGAACAAGTTGATTACCTTTGATTCTTAGGCTTCTATAACATACATTTTTTAGTCAAATTAATCGTTCATGAAAGTAAATAGTTTTTTTTTCATTCTAATATTTTTAGTAATATGCTAGTGATAGAACTTTTTTCTTCTTGTTTTAATATGTTTAGAACTCTAAATTTGTAATACGATCAACGAATTTTAAATTTAATATAAATCTGATACACTTTTCTGGAGTTTTTGAATAGAATCAGTAAGTGTGCTAGATATATCAGTCATGATTGGTATTGAAAGTAAGGCAATACTAATGTTTTGTAAAAGTATGTTTTCAATTCATTATTTTTAGGACTTTATTTGTGGAATATATGTAATACACAATTTAATGAATATATGTAATACACAATTTAATATCTTCTTTAATAATTAGAGCCAATTTTTGTCGGACGGACCTGATTTCGATTTGCGAAGGCGCACTTTTAAATCTAGAATTAGGTGCGTTTACTATAAACGTGAGCTTATCGGTTTTTTTATCATAATAATTCTGATAAGGAATGAGGCTTATAATTATCGGGCAGTTAAGTGGTTTCTTATCTTATCCATTGGTAGGACCAAAGAGTGCAACGATAATACACACATATAAAAAAAGAAAACGACACAAGAAAATTAAATCACTTTTTGTTTGATAGTTACCTATCATCCTGGTTTGCCTTCCTCGCTGATTTTTGTTGTTTCAAACGCGTTTCGGCATTTCGCCATCTTCAGTGTTTGGGTGATATTTGTGAAGTTTGAGTTATGAGGTTGTGATGTTGGGGGGGGGGGGTTAGAAGGGATTAGCAGTATTAGTACTGTTTGTCTGCCTGGTACATCAGTGGATATGCTAAAATGCATTACTTTTTGTTGTCTAACCTCATTATAATAATTAGGTCTTTACCTTGAAACAATAAATAAGCATTAAGTTTTATTTAATTTACTAGTAGAATGCTCCAAATAAACACCTTCGACTAGTGGCTCCTCGAGTTAAATGACAAAAATGGTCAAATTTCACTTAACCTCTCAAGAAATGCACTTTTTCAATTTAGAAAGAGAAATCTGATTATATGCCGGGGAGCTTCTTTGCTCAGTAACATACACCATTTAAATAACCTATATTTGTTAAATTTGTTGATGATTTTGGATTGTGATGGTAAAAAAATTAACAAAATTCGATAAATCGTATCAATGTCATCCCGTACAATGCGAATAGACTTTCTGATGATCCCTTATACTTGCAAAGATAGCATTTTAATTAGGACTATGCTTGCTTGTGTATGCACTGCCCGAGGATCTGCAAAATAAGACAAAATAATGAAACCTCTACCAATCAAGAATTTGGGCTTAAATTTTTCATTAATGACTTTTGTTTTTATTGATGTAGAATTGGGTGAATTGCCACACATTCCGATTAAAACATTTGCATTTGAACTTATGCTTCACTCTCGCATATTTTCTCCGCTTTATGAAAAAACATGAATGTGTAACCTAACCCGTCCCTAACCCTATCTTACCTAACCTAACCTAATCCATCTTTAACTCTAACACGAACCCTACCTAACCATACCTAAGGTAATCCAATCCATGTGCACTTCCCGGATTATTGTAAGCTTTTAACTTCCCTCAATATTTGTGTGCAACATAAAAAAATGTAGTTTGGTAGCTTACGATCATTTTGGTTTGCCTGCCCTGCAGTTTGGGTCCGTCAGGCAAGTTTTGGCCTCTCGTCATACATCACTGTTGGATTGAAAGTTGGGTATGTTAAGACGATAGGATTGTATCTACACAACAGACTGAGGTAGAATCGCATAGCTAGACTTAAAAGGCAAGAATTTAGCAGAAGACATTTAGAAGCTTAAAAAAACCAATCAACCAACTGGCCCATTTTATGGAAGAAATGCTGAAAACGAAGAAAATCCTCGACTTGGGACCGTGGTGGCACTGTGATTAGGGCGTCCGGCTCATATTTGCTGCGTTATCGATTCTGGGTTAGAATCTCCGAAAAAAAATTGTAAAGTGTTTTGAACACTCGTCCATGACGTCACTCAACGGTTACTTTATAAAGTCGATTAAAGCTTGCATAGGGTAATTTCAGGTGAAATCATCAGTGCCTTTAAATATTGCCACATTGTGTAATAGTTTTGTCGATTTGGATTGTATTCCTCCAAATAAACCCCAGTCTAAACTAATTATTTAATTTTTTTTTTGATTGGCGAAACCAATTTTGTGACAAATGTTTTTAAGATTTGTGGAAACAAAAGCAAATTATTGGAACAATAGTGCTTAGGATTACGACCAATTTGGGCAAATCATAATAATGAATCGGACTTTGTCCTAGTGTAAGCATAGTTAGCATTCAAAAATTTACGTAACTTTCTCGAGACGGACTGATTGGTGGAAGGAGAACAATTCTGACTGACCTCCGGACAAATTGTTTGTCGGTGTACGAAATAAATGTACGGCAAACATTGAATCAATTGATTCACATTCCAGGAGTTTCACCGGTATTAATGACACATGACATGAAACACCGAAGTGCTCAATTTCACCTTCTGGTCAAATCCTCGGGGATTTAATAAATGAGGACTGCACTGTACCAACTTCCGAACGTTTAATTATTTTGTGGTTATTCCTGTTTTGGATTTTTTAGTTCAAAGATGTATTGTAAAATATATTACCTAATCTTCGCGCTCGCCTCGGTCGTCGCAGTTCATCCAATAGAGAAAAAACCTGAGACGAACGACGCCTTTTCAATAAAACGTGAGTTAAACTGTTATGACCTTTTTATAGAACAGTAGTTTTTTATTTAAAAAAAAATTAAATTACAACATTGGCCTAACAAAAGCAAATTGTCTTATTTTTAAGCTATCGGTTTTTATATCTATTACATCAGAAAATTCCAATTTAAACATATCATTCAGAAAGAAGGTCTCCTTATCTTTTTGTTTATGAATGAAATAATACTAATCTTTCAACATTATATTAACACCGGTATGTTGTGAGCACATGGAGAAATGGTTAAAAATGAGAAAATAGTTTAACATGCTTGTGATGTGGGAGGCGTAATCGATTGAATAGAATTTTCTTTGTGTGATAAACTAAATTATTTATTTACTTGTGAGTTGTGTAAAAAAGGGTTCAATGTTATTACTAACAACCAGTGTTAAAACCAACATTTATTTTGCTAACGGATAATAAGACTATGTATTTTAATCCTTGATTTTCAGTTAGCTGACAAAATACGCTACCTCGGACCAAAGTATATTTCGGTCATGTATATTTCAGACATTCTAAACGTCAGCGAGGCCCAGGGTCGCTAGTGACTCCAGTAAACAGCGAAACAAGCAGATTTTTTCAATCGGAGTTTAAAATCGTAGGAGTAGGAAAGAAAGAGAGGGAGAGAGAGAGATATTAAGAGGAGAGTGTGAGAGATTAGGAAACAAAAAGAGTGAGAGAGTACGAAAGAAAACGAGAGAAATTGAAAGAGAAGGAGAGAAAGAGATAGATAGATAAATAGAGATAGATAGAGAGAAAGAGAAAGGGTGAGGGAGGGGGCGAGAGGGCGAGAAGGAGAGGGAGAGGGAGAGAGAGAGAGAGAGAGAGAGAGAGAGATAGAGAGAGAGAGAGAGAGCGTGAGAGAGAGAGAAGGAAAGAAAAAGCGAGAGGGTAAGAAAAAGAATAGAGATTGAGAGTGAGAGAAGTGAGATAGAGAGAGAGAGGAGAGAGAAAGAGTGTGAGAAGATGGGAAATTTCACATAGTCGAGGTCAGATAGTCACAACTCACGTTAAATAGTCCAACAAGACTTGTCAACACTATGAATATGTTATCTGCCATATAAATTATGTATTATTAATTTTTTACGTTTATTTGTGTTGAATAGTAAACTTTTGAGACATGATTTAGTTATAGACGCTTAGTCTCGTCAAAACAGACATGTGCCTAGTATTTCCTAAAATTTCAAAGGACATCGACCAAACAGATTTACCCGTAATCCAGACTTGCTTTCCCAACCCAACTTTCAAAAGAGGACAGGCACACATTCGACAAAAGAAACTTTATTTTCAAGAAGATTTTAAAATTTGGGCAGTTGTGTATTCCAGGATGAAAAGATGAAGAAAACTGAGAGCTTTACTTCGAAATCGATAAAGGACTAAATTGAAACTTTTCTGTAGCAAAACGTCAAACATTTATTTCTACCTTTAATTGTAATTCCCATTTAATGTTTAAATGTTTCCCATTTAATATTAATTAATATTTCAAATATGTAATTAAATAAGTGTACTTTCTAATATGTACTTGCAAATTTAAAATTTTCATATTATGTAAGTGTTGCACATAAAATGGGAATATCGATAATTTGAAAAAACGATGAAAACCTACAAGATGAAAATTATATTCTCTATTTAGAGCTGATTTTATATAACAAATTTATTTTCTTACACATATTTGAAAGAAAAAATAGCACAGGTCGTTTCCGAAGGATATTCCTGAAGCATGTATTGAATCCGCCTACGCAGAATCCTTCCTTATAAAATGGAGAACCCTCAAAACAAACCTGAAAACCTTTTAATTTATGTTTAATGAAGGTGGGTAAATAATAAGATTTAAAGGAATCAAATTAAATTTCTTTTTGTTGCATAATTGTTAAACCTTGGATTTATTGTTCATCTTCCTAGTATCCGGCCTTAAAAAATAATTATCATAGACAATATTTTAAGAAATTTTATTGTGATTATATGAAATCTATATCATAGAGATAACGGGAAACATGTTAGCTTTTTTAATCAATAATCGCTCTTTACCTATGGCAACAGTTAATTTAACTCTTTTTTTTTTAGATTTTTTTATTCTACTGCCGCAATATATATAGCAATATATATAAATATATTGGACGGGTAGAAACCATTATTATCTTTTTGAACAAAGCTCGAGAACTTTTGTAGATATCGATTTCGGTGTTCGTCCTGATCCCAAGCAAATCCTTGCCCCAAACCCGTATACCTGGTAACGAAGGGAAGTCTACAGTTTACACCCATTTGTTATAAAATAAAGTTTTTCTTAGCCCTTATGGTACATTTGTACACAACGGTCGGCTGCGATTACTTGAAATGGCACTCCACCAGAAGAACATTGAATATTCGGAAGGATAAAAGAGGGAACTATTTGGAAATGATAGTTTGTGAGTAGAACTATCCTTTCCAACCAGTGAACTGATAAACTTATTCCACCAAAATTATTTCTATAATAGAGGGAACCCTGTGCTCTTATTAATTATTCCAACTAATAGTTTTCCCAATTATCCTAATTCGATAGAGTTATCAAAGAAATTACGACTTGAAATATAGATTAGAAAGTCGTTTTCCTTCTGATAACGGAAAGACACGTGTTTGGCTGGTGGGGCTGTCAAAATTGTACCTCTCGGTCTGACAATGAAATGTCACCTCGCCCACCAAATTAAAAATCACAAAATTTAACATCAATTCAATATAATAGAAAAACCCGAGCAATTGTTTATTCCTTTTTATGATGCACACACACGCGCGCGCGCCCTGATAATTGTTCAAGTTTGCCGGTCGAGAAGTAAATAGCTTAAATAGTAGCGTTTCATCGGTTTAATTCCTCGAATCGTGAGAACGTCGTGAGAACGTTCAGGAGGATTGTTAGAAAAAAGACAAAAAAACTACTGTTAAACAGGCCTCAAATTTGTCTTCAACATGGTCAATTTACCTTGATAATGTGTTTGATGGTGTAGTTATAGTTAAGCCTAACTTGAAACCAAGCAAAGGAAGGTTAGCGCTATTAATAATAATTGAAATGAATAACAGACAGGCATAACTGCTTCTATTTCGGATTACGTGAACTATGATAAGATGCCATGGTTAAAACAATAGGTCAATTGAAATGAAAAGCGGGTGGACATCGGAAATGTGCAATTAATGTTTTGACACCTTCCTCGTCCAACAATTATTAATTAAAAACCTTATAACTCTCATTAGATTGCATATACTGAATAATTCGGCTTTTTAATTGCATTCTATTAAGAAAACCAGTCTGAGATGTGACGTTTTGCTTGACAAATATATTTGTTTTATATGCTGAAACCAAAAGGCAGATTATAGTGAGGAGGGAATAGACTACATTTCATTGAAAACAGCTGAGATTATAGACCCAGGAACAAGCACCACGAAATTTGTAGGTGATTTGGTTCACTCTACTTGCAAGTCATTGGAATGGTTCCGAAGACCTGAAAATTCCTCATCAGTTATCGGCTTACAGAGTGTAAGATGTTAAGAACAGCATTGATTGACGGTTCTCAATAAAGTACCAGTAAACTTTCCTGTACATGTATTCAACAAATCTTAATTGTGTTTCATTGGAATAACAAGACCTGCAGATCATTCCTTCTCACCAATTCGGCTTCTTTCCTCATCATTCCAGTTTACAGCAAGTTATCAAAGTCGATGATACCATTTCCTCCGTACAAGGGAACAAAGAATACTTATTGATGGGTACGTTTCTGGATGTGACCCAGGCTTTTGTTCTGGCGCCCTGTCAACCTTTATAAACTTAAACACTTCCTACTCACCCTTTGTTATCTTGTTCTGTAATCCAATTTGACTGATCGCTGCTTCAGAGTGAGCTGCGACAATACTCACATATCAACTAATAGGCGTCTCACAAGGGTTCTTGTGATATATTATACATTCTTGGTAGCATTCCTGTATAACATTTACACAGCTAATTTTCCAATACATCCTAACACCATCATTACCTATCCGGGTGACACGGCAATTCTGTCTTCTAACCCGAATCCTATCCAAGCAACCTCCAACATCACCTTGTGTATAAACTGACACAATAGTAAAGGACAATATTGAATTAAGAAAAATGTATAGTGTACATTATCTTCCACTTTTTGTCAACAACAAGGAATTTTTGACTTTCACTCAGGCAGATACTGACGAGGAATCCCTACACAAGACCTAAGAGAGAACTTAAGAGAAGACTTGAACAACTACGAAGTATTTTAGGATTAAAATTTATTTTGACAGTCAAAACTCAACTCAACTTTACTGCGCTTTGGACATACGGAGTAGGATTATTGGGTTCTCCCAAGACGGCCAATATCCAGCGCATCCAATCCTTCCAATCATAAGTCCACAAATTATTGACAAAGCTCCTGACTACGTCACTAACCTCACTATCCACCACGACCTGTTACACACCAAGCTTTCGATCCATCCTAAACTGTCCTTCTTCAACTGTCCTCTGTTTTTCTTACGGTTACTTGTCGAGAGGTCTTGTAATTCCTTACGATTAAGTTTCATCAAAAGATACGTGGTTTTTATCCACCAAGAGATGTGCCAAGGCATTAATATTAGTGTAATTTCAAATGAATGAAGTGAGAAAGTACAAGAAACCTCTTGAAAAATTAGTTAACTCTCAAATCTCAACATTGTATATCTTCAATCTGTCTTTCGGACGGGTTTCTCAAATAATTCCGCTATTTTAAAAATATCTACCGATGATTAGACGGCTATGGATTAAGTTAAAGTTATTATTATTGACCTTCTTGATTTTTCTTAAGCTTTTGACTCCCTAAAACATTCACTTCTTCTTTATAAACTCAATTCCCTTTACTTCTCCTACAATGTTCTCTGATGATAATTTTACTTCCCCCAGCCCGGTCACAAATAGTCCTCATCCCAGACAAGAATATTCCTAATGTCCTTAAATATTGCACTTATCATCTCTTCCAAAGCTAAGTCTCCTGTTTATTTCTTGACCTTCAGATCACAATCATACTAATCCAAAAGGACGTAAAACAGCTATTGGGCCATTGAAAATGAACTCTCAATATCAATAAGTCCCAGGCTATAGTGTTTGGATCCCATCCCCTTCTCCACTCTTTACCTTCTATACCTCCGATCTGCATTAATAACCAACCGTCTCCTTTTATCCATCTGTCAAAAACATAGGGATCGTCCTTGATCAAACGCTATCATGGAAATCCCACATTTACTACATCTTCCCTCTGCCTATTCCGCCATGCAACTTAATCTAACTCAATGCTTTACATCTTTAAGTCCCGTCTGTTTGACTATCTCCTAATTTAATGAGGATGGTTAATTTTCTGTTAATTTTTCCCTTTTATTTAATTTAGTGCGTTTCATTTAGTTTTATGCTATTACATTTAAATTTTTATTTAGACATTCATATTGACACGAATTGTACCACATTTTGTACTTCTTTGTTATTTAAGTGGGTCCAAAGCACCAGAATAAAATTTATTTTCTTTCTTTCTTATAAAAGTGGAATATTGGTTTTGCTACGGAATTCTTTGTTATTAAATAGCAACGCAAGGGGTTAAAAATGAATTCAAGTTGAATATTAACAACCGTAATAGGATTACGATTAAACAAAAGTATGTTATGTTAATGATTATAAGAAAAAATATTTTAAATGATGTTAAGCAAGTGGCCTTCATACGGTACTTAAAACCATCAAATTTTCCATCACTCATGCTAACCCCAGATGTCAAAAACACTGGCAACGTTACTGCAAATTAACCGAAGCTTATATCAAATGGATTCATTGTTTGAAATTATACCTCCTGTACGACGGGATTAAGCCGTTATTTGAGAATGGTCAAAATAGGTGGAAGTTTGCCCAAATACAATAATTCTTTCTCGGCTTGGTATTTTCTTCTTTACAGTCGCTTCTTATTTTCAACCAATTACCGTCCTTTGAGGTTAACTTCAAAAGATTCACTTTTTGAAAAGAAGATTTCTTATTAGTACCAGCTCATTAAGTTTACGAAATAAAAAAATATAAACATAATTTTTAAGTATGGGATACAATTTTAATACTTTTCTTAAATAATTGTATTAATATATCTGTTATTTTAATCCATGTATGTTTAGTAGTCATATTGATCGTATTAATTATTTTAATTAGTTATACTTTTTTGTCCGAGGTGTTGGTCGAGACGAAAAAGCCAGTTTCAAGAGCGGGATTCGAACCCACGACATTCGGCAGAAACTTCTCTCAATGACACTTGCTTTTTCATCTCAATAATACCTCAGATAAATTTTATTTTTTAAACGTCTCTAACTAAAATTTATCCGAGTTATCTTGCTTCCTATCTTGAAGTAGCTTTACGACTTGTTGCACAAAACGACCAAATTTCGTATTATTAATTTATCGACGCACAAAACAATTCTATTATATTTAATGTTAGGGGATGTTCCCCCCCTCCCAGAGGCTTTAATATTATGTAAAATATTTTTTCAGACTAATTTGAACGTGTTTGAACTGCCATTTTATTTTATTGAGTCTAACTTTGAGTCTAATATATGATGAATTAGAAAATAAGGATTGGTTTTACGACTTCACTGGATATTTTGACAGGTTTTGCCTCCCTAAAAATATTATTGTCTAGTTTCTTTTTTATTTTAAGTAAAGTGGAGAGTTGGTTACTTTCTTCGGTTGGAATTTTGGGTGATTTTCCACACAAATAATATGTTGTATATAATCACACATAGAACCTACTGGTGAAACTTGAACTTCGATCTTTCCTGAAACTGAAATAATATGAATTTAATTTTGCAAGAAATTAATCATTTAACACACTGTCTTCTGGCATTTCCGTACAATTGTGCTGTTTTCAAAATAAACTCCAGGGATGATTTTTTTCCTTTTGGTCGTTGAAGGGAGTGCAATTTTGAAAAATTGCTCAAAATAGAGCTGTCGGGTGGATTGCAGCTTCATAATTCGACTTAATTCATTACTGAACAAAGTCATTACTACTGAGTGTCAAATGGTGTTAAGAACTGAATCACCTTGTAATGAAGGAAGAGTTTGTTATTTCGAACACCACAGGACTCCTTACTATCACTAATTACATCGATCCGGTCGATTATTTAAAAAAAGACTATTAAGACTCTACCTGATATAGGATCGTTGATTAGTAAAGTACACGAGAAAAAAACCCAAGTGCTGATGATCTACTGTTGGACTGTATCCGGAATATAAATAGACTATAAATGACCAAATGATAGATTTGGATTGTAACCAAACGAAAATATAGATTATTTATCAGAGCGGAGACATTTCTAATGAGAAGAAATGAATTATTTCTTTTAGTTATTGGGCCAAACCAATCTCCGAAAGCCGTTTGCCAACGAAGAGGCACTTGTTAAATATGCATACCACTTTTGACTTTTAGTTTTTAATTAATTTCTAAAAATATACAAATTATACAGAGGAATACATTAAGATGTAACAAATGTCTATTGCCTGTATTAAAAAAACTTCCTTTAATACAAATTTTTTTTTATAAGGGATAAAATTCTACTATAAATGTGGATAATTTTTTTTTGGGGGGGACTGGATACACAATTTTTTTACGTTATCATTTTTGTGTAATCGATTTCTCGTAACCGGGCTGTGCGCATGGTTTAGGTTGGGTTAGGTTAAGATGGGTTGGGTTTGGAACAAGGTAGGTAGGGTTGGGTTAGGGTTTGGGATATGCTAAGTTTCATTTAGAGACGGGTTAATTAGGGGTAAGGTTACGGTTTGATTACATATCCACTTTTCAATGTTTTCCGTGAAGAGAAAAAAATATATACGCGAAGGACGAGTTTTACAGCTAAGTTTCGACGTTTCTATATATACAAAATCAGCTTGGGTTGAAAATATTATGAATAAATCATTAAATTAATAAAAAATGGTAATATTTACAAAAAGAACATATGCAAATTATCTAGTGGGACATAAATACACACACACACACTCTCTCTCTTTTAAAATCAATTTTTAATTACCCTTGATAACAATCAATAAAAAAAGAGGTTTTCTTTACTTAACCAGAAGCCCAACTATTATCAGAAACTTTGAAACTGAACTTCTTATCAATGTCAAACCTGATTTGCTTGGAAACTTCATTTCCAATGATATGCTAACAAATGGTTTACAATGTCATTACGTCGGCCCAGCTGAATTGGGGCGAAACAGGCTGCATCATTATTTATTAGATTCACTAATTTCGTGGTCCGCTTGACCAATTAATATATTACAATTAATTTAGGTTTTTAGTTGAGATAAAAAAGTCAATGGCACGAGCGGGATTCGAACCCACGATCTTCGGCTAGATACGCCGCTGCTCTACCACTTGAGCTATCGTGACCTCGATCCACTCGGACACCAACTTCCTATCTCAACCCCACCTTCTGAGTTTTCCCTCCTTTTTGCCATTTTTCAAATGTCGTGTAATCGGATTGGATTCTCGGCGACAAATGAAATGACCACGGAGAGCTTTAGTGAAGTATACTTCATTTTAATTCATTAAATTCACTAATTTCGTGGTCCGCTTGACCAATTAATATTATTTATTATGATTATTAATATTATTATTATATTATCATTATTATTTATTAGGTTATAGATTTTTATCTTTTTGTTGAATTTTAATTTAATATTGAAAATCACGGATAAGGCTAAGTTGAAATAATAGAAAACACAGTTCCTTCATCATGCTTTCTAGGAATATATCCTCTTCATCAGATCTTTAAAACGATTATTAATAATGTACATATGAGCATCTAATTAGGTTTCAATGTAAGCTAGGTTAAGTTGACGAGAACTATCACCAGTTTATTCCATATGGGAATTAATATTTTATTTTAAACTTCACAACCTCGTGAATTAATAGCACTTATTAGGTTGTCTTTGCCTCTTAGGTGGCTGGTGAAGTGTAGCTCGACAAATTTAAATTCGCCCATTCGTAATTAAATAAAGTTAATTGCGATTCCACGACGATGTCAGAATTACCAAGCGTCGGAAATGTGCCCTAATAAAGCAATTAGGGGTACATTTCAAACAATTGATTCCCTCTTGATAAAGGAAGGACTTAGGTGGAAGGAAGTATAATCGAATTGAAAACTCTTTGAAGGTCTCTGTGAGTAATCATTTTTAATTGACCAAAACGCAGGTCCAGATTAGAAAGAAAAAAGAAACCAACCGAAGGTCTAATTAAATATCTAAAATGAAATTTTAACAATAACCGTTCATAAAGATTTATATTTCTACTTGTTTAGTAGATGTACGTTAGCAAATTTTACTCAGCGAACCCAACATCCTTCCAAATCGGCTGTAGTTAAGCGTTTTAAGAGTGAAAGAGAGAAAAAATCTGTGGACAATATTAATATTTAAATAACACTAGGAGACTTTGTTTGAACCAGAATTTTAATCTATCTTCTTTCGGATAATCTAGATCTTGGTATGGACTGGATGAAAAAACAATTTAAATTCTTATCTGCCAAACTTTCTGTGGTACAGTACGTGGCAGTTTTGGGTCTGAGTCTATCATCAAAGAAATTAGAAACCATCAAATTAGAAAACCTTGATTATGCCAATTAGTAGACATATTTAAAACTGTTTTGCCCTGATGATGAACTTAAAATAGGTTTCGGTTGGTTGGCGATAACAATTGGATTTGTTTTTTCATCCAGACAATACCGAGGTCCAAATTATTCGTGAGTTAAAAAGTGGTCGATACATAGAACACTTTGAACAGATCTTTCTGCTTTAACAAGAAGTTAAAATAAAGGTAAAAGCAGTAGTTGAGCAAATAAATTAATAATAGGCTTTACTGTTGCCTCCAAAGTATATGTTTTTAAGGAAATCTGTTGTTCTGTTTAATTTCAGAGGTAGTACCACAGGAGAAAATATGGGTCAAACAACTGATAACCCGGGCACTACTGGAGTTTGTACCTCGAGGAGTGGACCCGAACAGCCTTTGTACCGAGCATGGGAGAGCCTACGTCAACGACCTGGGACGTTTAAGCCTCTGGGCTGTCCAAAGTGAGTTTTTTACAGTTTATTGTATATTTTGTTGTAATTATTATATTGCGAATCTTTTTTTACTGACGCCTGCTGGTCGATCAAATAATTGGTCCATCCTGGCTTTTAGATATTTGAGATTCGACATACCATTCCTACTTCATTTTTGTCCAGTTGGTAAAAAATAATCCATAAAAATTATTCAAGAATAAATATTTTAATTATAACATTTAACTGGTCGTTAATTTCTATTTATAACACTCAATTTGGGCTGTGACTTCTAATGAAAGAACTTCATACGTTTACAAAAGACTTGTTTCTTTCTTTTAATTTGTCCGAAGTCCAAGCCCTTTAATCAATAGCTATGCAATCTTCCTGCCGGAAACAGCGAGAAAAACCGTAAGGTAAAGTACATAATAGAATACTTTATCAAAGCGATCGAGTCAATATTATAGATAATTCTTTTGACATTTAGACAATCTGGAGGATGTTGATAACAATGATAACACACAATCGCGTAAAATTTACCGTACGATTCTTTCTAGCAACTGATTTGTAATTTGGTCATAGAATTAATTAATGTTAAACTAACTTAAATTAATTTCTGTTAAACGCTTACCCATTTTCTGATTATTTTAACCCGCATGAATGCCTGTTTATGTTTACATTAGAGATTACATCAACATTTTTTTCATTTCATCCTTTTGAAATTGTGCGTACAATCCTATTTTCTAATGCCCATCTAAGACGGAAAATGTTTTGACATAGATATGTTTTTGGTTTGATACACCCATTTTTGTACATGACCATTTTCCGTTTTGGAGTGTGCATGGTTTTGGTTAGATTGTGCTAGGTAGTGTTGGGTTGAGATAGATAGGGTTAGGGGTGGGTTAGGTTAAGTTAGGTAGAGTTGAGCTAGTTATCGTTGTTCAGTGACTACATAGAGTCTCTTAAGGCCCTTTTACACGAGTAAATGTTTTGATCTAAAAAATATAACATTTTTCCATCAAAGCCTTGTTCAAACTAACGTATTTTACTTTAGGCGCGCCAGGAAAGTAACTTGCAGTTTTGAAACCAAATAAGGGTTAGGTTACACACCCACGATTCATTGTTTTAGAGTTTTGTTAGAAAATATACGGCTACGAAGCGCGAGTTTTACGATAAAGTTTCACAACTAATCATTACATTCATAAAAATGAACAAGAATAATTATATCCACCCCTTCACTTGCTCACTCTATTTTTCTTACTATCTTCTCCCTCCCTTTCTCTCTTTCTCTTTCTTTCTTTCTTTCTTACTCTCTTTCACTCGCTCTTTTTTCTCTTTCTCTCTCTCACTCTCTATCTCTCTCGTTCTTATTTTTTATCTCAGTCACTCTTTCTTATTCTTTCTCCTCACTCTTCCACCCTCTTTCTCTCTCATTCTCATATATGTATATATTTTTTTTTTGTTTTCCATGTTAAGAAGCAGAGAGGTCTAAGTCACCTTAATTTTGCGTGGTTAAATAAAACTTATCTTTCTATCTTTCTCTCTTTCTTACTTTCTTTCACACATTCTTCCTACTTTCTCTTTTTTTATTCTCTCTTTCTTAATATCTCTCACGCACTCTTTCTCCTTCCCCTTCACCCTCTCTCTCTCTCTCTCTCTCTCTCTCTCTCTCTCTCTCTTTCTCTCAGCCACGCTCTGTCTCTCTCAATCTTTTTTCTTACTCTCTGTTATCAGTCTCTTTTTCCCTCTCTCTCTCTGTTGTATTCTCTTTCTCATTTTCTCTCTCTCACACACATTCTTTTTATTTCTTAATCTCTTTCACTCACTCTTTCTCTCTCTTTCTTAATCTCTTTTACTCACTCTTTTTCTCGTTATCTCTCACTCACCCTTTTTTACTCTCTTTTTCTTACCATTGCTCACTACTCTATTTCTCTTACTCTCTCTTTACTTTCTCTTTTTCTTTTCTCTCTCTCTCTCGTTCTCATTTAACTTTTTACGCCAGCAATGTTTGAGAAAATGTTTGTACCTCAGCTAACACATATTTTCTAAACGATTACCTCTCATTCCGGCCCTATGTTAAAAGGTTCGGGCGGAAGTGAGTTTAATAATCGGTTTCCGGCTTAAAAACAGAGAAAACTAACGTGAATCACGGCGGCGTGAGTCACATAGAATGAGTGAACGGTCTTACGTTAGACAGTTTGTCCAGATGTTTCTCAAAATTTTATTTATAGCTTATGGGGGCTTACTGAAGGAACGACATCCGCCGTCTAATACCTCAGACAACCCAAACAAACTAACTCCCTTATCATCAAACAAGACCGATATACAAAACCAAGGTTCACTCCATCGGGGTTTTTTAATTCTTACATTTTTCCCGCCGATGTGCCAGACTTTGAACTTAGTTAATCAATTCTATAGATTTTTTATCTATAGAATTGATTAACTAAAATAATTTAGCATGTGTTATAAAATCTGCATTATATAAATCTTATGTGTTAAGAATAAGTATAACATTATCTAGAAAACACGAAACAATCTTTCAAGGAATATATCCTCATTCATCAGGATTTTGAAATTATAAGCTAAGTCGTGTGAGATTTCTTCTGGGGACTGCGGAGTGAAAGACCTATGTCTCGCTGATAAGAGTTTCAAATAGAAAAACTCACCTACCACTGTTTTTACCTTCCATAGAAGTTGCCTATTTATTAGGTTCAAAATGTAGAGAACAAAATTTTGTTATACATTATTAAGCAAGAATATAAACTAAAGGAGTATACTGCACTTTTCGCCATTTTGTCTTTGTTGTAGTTGAATTGAATTGTGATTTGTTTATTGCAGAAATGAATTCTATATAAGTAATAAACATGGGGGAAGAAAGGACCTAATGATACGATAATTAGTTGGTTTAGTAGAATCAAGGAGAAAATCTGGTGACTTCTAGATAATTTCGATGCGACAATTAAATGAAACTACACCACGGTAATGTAAAATAGGGCGGGAAAGGCTCCAATAAATGCATACCACGGCGAAATGAAAATTAAGGCACATATGGTTTCTTTTGTACAGACTACTTTTACCGATGAATTGCAATTTGGACCCGATAGTGAAGGTGAACCTGAAGGTTTTGAAAAATACTATTATTAACTAGAAAAATTGCTGAGGAGTGATCGTATAGGGGCGCAATTACGCAACCGGAGAGATTCTCTTTATACCCTCTCGAATATTTCGACATCTTAGATTACTGAATGGCGAACTGATTATGTTTATCTGGAAGTTTTTCAACGATGCAACACGTTTTTACTGTCCTATTTGTAATAGTTTTCAATTTGGCTTAATACTTCAGCATGAGGCTGCATGCATTTGTAGCATGGTTTGTCAATTTTTGTTTGCCTATGAAACCCTGCGGTAGTTGTAGGTTTGTAGTGTTCAATAAACAAAAAGCATGCACCTAAGAAAGCACATGGACCAACTAACTACACAACCACACCAGTAGCGAGCCTTGGATTTAGACTCATATGTTTCAGCACATCACCAATTTCGGAATTGAACAAATTTTCAGAAGCCAAAAGTTGGTATTTAGAGTTACTACCAATAAGACTTAAACAACACAAATTACTCAAAGTCACCATTGTTGCTGGCGAAAAGCGTATGGTATGGTATGGTATGGTATGGTGGAAGGGATGCCGGGAAGCGGGGCTTGTATTCCCCAGGCACTGCAGCCTTCTGGCTTATTGTACTTTCCCAGTTCCCTAGTTTAGTCAATAGACTCAATCCTTCTTCTCAGAAGTATCAGGTCATTGACTGTTATTGCTGCAATTTGGTTCCCTGAGTTTGAAAAGCGTATGACTAAACAAAAGTGCGAAGGTGAAGACAGATGAAAAATGATCCGAAAGGACAAAAACTTCAAATTTGCTTGGGATTAATGTGGACTAGATGTGAGACCGATGACTTTTCGTTGCTTGCTTCTGCTTGATAAAAACTGTTTTTTATCATGCTAAAAAGCTAGGATAGACAGACGAAAAAATGATCTGAGACGACCAATATTACAAATTTGCTTAAGTTTAAAGTTAACGATTTTTACAGTCGATGCGTTTGGTTTCGCTCGATTCTGCTTGATAAAATATGTCATTTTACTTATTTGCCATGCTAAAAAGAAGTTTCAATAGCAAAAAAGCTAGGACAGACAGACGAAAAAATGATCTGAAACGACCAATATTACAAATTAGTAATTATTCAGAAATCGTGAGATGCATCACACCAGACCGCATCTCACGATTTCTGAATAATTATCAATTAATGGTTACTAATCACCACACATTACAAATTTGCTTGAGTTTAACCTTAACTAGGTGTACAGTCGATGCGTTTTGTGTTGCTCGGTTCTGCGTAAAAACGGGTTATGTTGATTTTTCACCATGCCAACAAGGAGGTTGAAAAGCAAAACAGCTTCATAGTTATACTACCAAAAAAGAAAAAAATAGCACCATTTTTTTCCCTTCCGATCACCCAACCCTTTGTTTTCCGAGAATATTCAGAAGATTTCGTCAACATGTAAACATTCCTATCCAACATGGACACCCTGTTTGGCTTGGTTCTGATCAATAAGGAAGATATAATCATAAATATTTTGGCCGGATATTCAAGTCTACGTTTTTAACCTTATTTGAGTACAAAATTGAGGCGGATAAGATTTTAATGATATCATATGGTCAATGGCGTACATTCGTGGGTTATTCAGCATCATCAAAGTAGGTGTTAAAACGTATGGACTAAAATGCTGTACTATTACGGAATTTCTTCAGATGCCGCCTTAACATCTAGACCTTGGTCCATAGCGTGAAACCTAGTCGTGGGACGGGTGAAAATTATTTGTCCTTTTAAGGATCAAAGGTGTTCCTGGATGCACTGTGTTTCCAGATGGTGACGCCCATTGCTATACGTCCTCTTTAGTGAATTCATGAACATTAAAAGTAAGGAAATGACACCAAAGTTAATCAAATAATTCAAAATTGAGAATAGATTCAAGGGATGCC